TATTTATTTATTTATTTATTTTCTCGTACCTGCACATCGCCGATATTTCGCTGGAGTTCAAACAAATCACAAAAAGACCCCTTCTCTAAACTCTGCACTTCCTGCACGCAAAACCCTAAACCCTAAACCCTAAACCCTAAACCCTATATAACCCTAAACCCTAAACCCTAAACAATAAACATTGAACAACGAACTCTAAATCCTAAACCCTAAGCCCTAAACCTTTAACAATAAACAATAAACAATGAGCAATAAACCCTAAACGATAAACCATAAACAATAAACAATAAACCCTAAACCCTAAACCCTAAACCCTAAACCCTAAACCCTCAATTGTAAACATTAAATTGGCGTGTCTTGCGAAGCTAACAATCTCTCCTAGCTGTTAATTTGTGTTTATTTGTTTGTCTTTGTTATATCTCCTTATTTATTTGTCTTTGTTTATTTGAAGTAATTATTTGTCTCTCTCTCTTTACTTCTTCTTCTTTATTTCTTTCATTCTGTCTCTGTTTATTTGTTTATTTGTTTGTTTATTTGTTTACCTATTTGTTTATTTATTTGTTTGTTTATTTATTTATTTGTTTGTTTATTTATTTGTTTGTTTATTTTGCTGTCTCTCTTTGTTTATTTGTCTCTATGATATTCTTCGTTATTTGTTTTTGTCTATTTAATTATATATACTTATTTATTTATTTATATTATCTTTATATTTATATATTTACTTTTATTTGTTTAATAATTAATGTATTTCTATTATTATATAAAATAGCTAATAAACAAATAAACAAATAAATATAATATTAATAAATATATATTAAATTATATTTTTATTTATTTACTTCGATGAATGTTCGATAGCGCTGCAGCATCTCTAACATATCTTCGCCTGCTGAACTGAGGTGCAGCGACTCAACCAGAGGCAGCACAGCCCCGTTTGCTGCTGCAGATAAACACAAATATAAATTCAAGCTAACATCTATAACAAATATTAACAGCAACACCAACACTAGCTGCAGCACCAGCAGCAGAAGCAGGGTAGCAGCAGAAGCAACAGAAGCAGCAGCAGCAGCAGCAGCAGCAGCAGGGTAGCAGCAGAACGAGCAGCAGCAGCAGCCGGGTAGCAGCAGAACGAGCAGCAGCAGCAGACGCAGGCTAGTAGCAGAAGCAGCAGCAAAAGCACCAGCAGCAGCACCCCTGTAATGAGCAGCAGCAGCAGCAGCAGCAGTAGCAGTAGCAGCAACATCCGCTGCAGCAGCAAATTGCATCTCACGAGTCCTGGGCGAATCTTCTTGATCGCTATCTTCAATCGCAAACATAGAAGACGCCATCACCCCCTGCAGCAGCAGCAGCAGCAGCAAAAACAGCAGTTGCAGCAGCAGCAGCAGCAACAGCCAAGTTGC